CGCCACCACATACCACCCCCATGGTGACCGGATATCAACAAAATATACTAAATCACTCCCCCTTTTCCCTAAACAAGAATCCAATACCCTTTTCTCCAAAAACACCCTAAATCACAGTAGATATAAGGAAATATACCTTTGATGATTCGTCTTTTCTGGCGATGAATAGAAGTACGTGAGTGCCCAGAAGAGGCTAAGGCTTCTCTCACTCTCTTCCTTATATTTTTCTGGACTTTGGTTGCTGTGTATTGGGTGGTTTGCTTGCTATCTTGCTCTCAGTTTGCTGTTGTGAGTATTGGTTATTGCTTTTTGTTGCTCTTTTTCATTGTTCTCTCTTCTTCACAGGTTCACCCTATTTATAGGATCATTCGAGTCCCCTTTTGGAGCGGTTAAACGAATGAACCCCAGTGAGTCACCGAGCTACGGTGGTGACTCACCCTAGGGGAGATGAGCTGTGCGGTGGAGAGGCTGGGTGCATTAAATGCACCCAGATCTTGTAGATCCGGCGAGGACGTGGCTACTGCTGATTGGTAAGTTCATCGACGGGGCATTATCATATCTACAGCGGTGTCGGAATAGCCATAGGGTTACAATGAGTACCCTAGGGTTTGGCTGGTTCGGTTCTGGCCGTTAATTTGCTTCTGATCGAGTGGCTGAGGAAGCTTGCGGTGCTGGAATATATGTGAAACCCTAAACCAAACTTAGGTCCGCTCATTGGGCTTGTTGGACTGCTCTGGTCAGATTTGGGCCTGAACCGATTCTGTTGGGTTGCTTGGATCAAATCTGGTTGTAATATGGGTTCTGGACTATGCTTGTAATTGGGCCTCGGGTTGTAATCGGGCTTAATGCATTTGACCTATAAAATTGTAACAATTATTTATAATAATAAAATAATGTAATTATAATATATTATATAATTATATTGAAATTGAATTCAGAAGAAAACGATTGTTGACAGGTGGTTGATGTCTATTTCAAGGTTTTTGTTTTTATATTAGTCTTAATAACACATATGCAATAAAAATGATCTGAACTAATAACAATATTAATATTCGTGTAAGATTTGATTTGAATGCTTGTTGCAAATGAGTAGGCTAATCAATTATAAAAGGAGAATCATACTTGTTACGGTTCCGAGCAAGTGACCAAGTACTTGGATATTGAAAAATCAATCCTTTAAGCCTATAATCAAAATTATAGTCGGATGAAGAACACACATTTAAATTGAAAGTTTGGTAAGAATTGATTTTCATTATTTTATTTTCAGCTTTTTTTCTTAATTTTAGTTTCATTAGTCAAAACCCCTCATTTTACTTTTATTGCTTTAACATTGAGATTCTAATTTCAGCTCTCTTGGGATTTGACCTGATATCGCTATTACTACAAGTTAGTTTAGTAAAATCAGTTTTTATTTTGCATGACTTCGACAATCTTGTTAATCTTCGTGATTATGAAAACCTTAACAATACAAAAGATTATAAATATACTACATAGGTGTTAGAAACTTGAAATGAAGCTCTTTTAGCTAGCTAATACTCTTTTTCTCTAGCCAACAAATATACAAGGATTTCCTGACATAAAAAAGGTTGTAAGAAGTGTTTGACACAAATTAGAATCCTAATGGAGTATGAAACCATCCACTTGGGACTATGGAGACTTAAAAAGAAAAAAAGAAAGGAGGAAGACAAAGAGATGAGGCTTTTGGCCAACAAAACACACACCCACTATAGAAAAAACCCCATAATATCAGTATTATTTTTCCTCAATGATCTAATTGCGCTTTTAATCTCTTGCACTTTGACCCTGAACCAAAAATACCCTTTTAAAATCAATTGGGCTCAATTTACATCCAATCAATCTCACACTTGACCTAAGACTTTAACTGCGACCACCTCATGGTTCATCTCCCTCTCGGGTAAAACCAAAACTACTAACTTGCAATTTAGTGTGTTATGAAAATGATATAATTTGAACATTTATTTTATATTAAACCTATATAAAAAGAATTTTTCATGCATATTGTATGCACATCTGGTTGCACAAATTGCATAGTATCATAAATAGCTACTTTGGGTATTACCCATCCGCCATGAGAGTTTATAAACAAATACAGATCTTTGGTATCATTCTCTATACTGAAGTATACCATAAGACCAATAAGTTGATTCAAGATCTCCCTATAAACCCCTTGGCCTAAAAAAGTAATCTTTCTCGATAAAGTCGGTTGATTAGGATAAAATTGTATCCCTTAGTAGCAGTACATGTACCTTTTGATGCATACAGTTCAACAAAAATTATGAAAAAAAAATTAATGTGTAGATTCCAAGCCATCCTTCATTTTTTATAGTGGGCCTTTTCTAACTTCTAATTTCTAATGAAGGGGCTTTTTCTTACATTTTTCAAATCAAATGAAATTAAAAATGAAATTAAAGAAAAATGAGTTTTGGCCCATTTTCCTATAATATAGAAAATAATTCGCTAAACTTATCGCACAAACTTTTTAATGATCTATTTTTTTCATTGGGATTCAATCCAAATCACGATGTCATTTTCTTGTTCCTGAATGGGTTTCATCAATTTTTATTCAATTTGTTTTAGGTTTATCCTCTACTCCGAGGAAAAATATGTCCGATTTTGATTTGCGCATATAGGACAAATGACCTAATACCACGTCTTTTTGATATGATATCATTTACTTTTTTATTTTATTTATTTTAATTAAATTCCTTTTTCTTTCACGTTTTCCTCCAAATATTCAACGTATTTCTCATATTATTCGATTGATTAACAATTTGAAATTGCTCTTATTTCTATTTAAATTTTTTTTCATTTTAAAATAAAAAATATTTATGATTATGATATTAGTGATAATCATAAATATATTACCAATTGGTTTTTTTCTAAACAGAGCCTGGATGCTTCATTTTATCTGTCCAACCAAGCCAACCATAAATCATTCTAATTGAAAATATTAATCTGGATACCCCCAAAAAAATGAAATGGATCTCTAATTGCACTTCATTAGATTTCACCCCATAAATTTTTGATAATTCAATCAATCTTTTTTTTGGCGAAATAGAGGATATCTCGATCGGGCGAGAGAACGGGGGAATCCCATATGACCCAATATATTTGACAAGTCGCATACGTAAACCCAAACTGCATCTTTCTACCCCAGATTTTGAAAAGGAACTCTTGGAACACCAATAGGCATTAAAGGAAAGAAAAAGAATTAAATATTATATTTCACTTTGATGTGGAAACGTAATAGTGGTCTTAATAATATTGGCCTTTATCTCTTTATCATATTTTATACATAGATATAATTTATCATATTTTATACATAGATAGAATAAGGCCATAAAATAAAGATAAAGAAAGACATAATGAATGAATGAAAGAGAATTCTTACTAATAGGTCCTTTGAATGATGAACAAATAGAGATGCGTTCATTCATAAAAAATAGGATCAACCCCATTGCGTATTTATACTTATTGGGTATAGAATAGATCTGCTTCTCTTTTTTCTTCTGAGCCGAATTCTTTCCTTATTACTAATGGAATAGAACAAATATTAATAATTTCTACAAAAGAATCACCGAAAAGGGGAGGTATCCCAATGCAATAAAGTTATATAGTGTCTATTTTTCATTGATATAAGGGGTATTTCCATGGGTTTGCCTTGGTATCGTGTCCATACTGTCGTATTGAATGATCCCAGTCGCTTGCTTTCTGTTCATATAATGCATACGACTCTGGTTGCTGGTTGGGCCGGTTCAATGGCTCTATATAAATTAGTCATTTTTTACCCCTCCAATCCCGTTCTTAATCCAATGTGGAGACCAGGTATGTTCGTTATAACCTTCATGACTCGTTTAGAAATAACCAATTCATGGGACAGTTGGAGTATTACAGGGGGACTATAACAAATCCGGGTATTTGGAGTTACGAAGGTGTGGCCGGAGCACATATTGTGTTTTCTGGCTTGTGCTTCTTGGCAGCTATCTGACATTGGGTATATTGGCATCTAGAATTTTTTTGTGATGAGTGTACAGGAAAACCTTCTTTGGATTTACCAAATATTTTTGGAATTCATTTATTTCTCTCAAGAATGGCTTACTTTGGCTTTGGCGCATTTCATATAACAGGATTGTATGATCCTGGAATATGGGTGTCTGACCCTTATGGACTAACTGGCAATGTACAACTTGTAAATCCGACGTGAGGCGTGGAAGGTTTTGATCCTTTTGTTCCGGGAGGAATAACCTCTCATTATATTGGAGCGGAGACATTGGGCATATTAGCAGGCTTATTTCATCTTAGTGTCCGTCTGCCCCAACGTTTATATAAAGGATTACGTATGAGAAATATTGAAATCGTCTTTTCCAGTAGTATAGCTGCTATTTTTTTTACATCTTTTGTTGTTGTCAGAACTATGTGGTATGGTTCAGCAACTACCCCATCTAATTATTTGGTCATACTCGTTATCAATGGGATCAAGGATATTTCCAGCAAGAAATATATCGAAGGGTTAGTGTTGGGTTAGCCTAAAATTAAAGTTTATCATAAGCTTGGTCTAAAATTCCTAAAAAGTTAGATTTTTATGATTACATTGGCAATAATCCGGCAAAATGAGGATTATTCAAAGCGGGTTCAATGGACAACGGGGATGGAATAACTGTTGGGTGGTTAGGACACCCTATCTTTAGAGATAAAAAAGGGCGTGAACTTTTTGTACGCCATATGCCTACTTTTTTTTGAAACATTTCCAGTTGTTTTGGTAGACGGAGACAGAATTGTTAGAGAGGATATCCCTTTTAGAAGGGCAGAATCAAAGTATAGTGTCGAACAGGTAGGTGTAACTGTTGAGTTCTATGGCGGCGAACTCAATGGAGTGAGTTATAGTGATCCTGCTACTGTGAAAAAATATGCTAGACGTGCTCAATTGGGTGAAATTTTTGAATTAGATAGTGCTACTTTGAAATCCGACGGTGTTTTTAGTAGCAGTCCGAGGGGTTGGTTTACTTTTGGGCATGCTTCGTTTGCTTTGCTTTTCTTCTTCGGACATATTTGGCAAGGTGATAGAACCCTGTTCAGAGATGTTTTTGCCGGTATTGATCCAAATTTGGATGCTCAAGTAGAATTTGGAGCATTCCAAAAACTTGGAGATCAAACTACAAGAAGACAAGTAGTTTGATGCAAGATTGCTTTGTTATTTTTCGCTTATATTTTCTATTTGTTATTTGACATAGGCTGCTAGAAAAATCTTGATTAAAATCGTTGCCTTTTCCTTTCCTTTTTCTTTCTTTATTTTATTCGGGAGATGATTCCAAATAAACAGGTACGGAAGCTATAACTGTAAACCACGATCGAATTTATGGAAGCATTGGTTTATACATTACTCTTAGTATTTACTCTAGGGATAATTTTTTTCGCTATCTTTTTTCGAGAACCGCCTAAAGTTCCAACTAAAAAATGAAATGATTTTTCATTATCTCAATTGAAGTAATGAGCCTTCCAATATTGGGAGGCTCATTACTTCAATCAGTCCCTGTGTTCCTCGAATGGATCTTTTAATTGTTGAGAGGGTTGCCCAAAGGCAATATATAAGGCATACCCAATAAAACTTACAAGTAAACCAGATATAAAGATGGTGACTAAGGTTGATGTTTCCATTATTATATAATTTCAAGATCACAATGGATCTATGATAAGATCGTTTATTTATAGTGGAATGATATACTAAGTCAACAGATCTCACTGAATACAAAATAAGATTTATGGCTACCCAAATCGGTGAGGGTAATTCTAGATCTGGTCCAAGACGAATTGTTATGGGGGATTTTTGAAACCTTTGAATTTAGAATATGGTAAGGTAGCCCCTGGATGGGGAACGACTCCTTTAATGGGTGTCAAAATGGCTTTATTTGCGAGATTCTTATCTATTATTTTGGAGATTTATAATTCTCCCGTTTTACTGGATGGAATTTCACAAGAACCACAAAGCCTCACTTTTTAATAGAAAAAGTGAAACTTTTAGTTCTCGAATTTTTAGCCCATTCTATTTCGGTAGTTCGACCGCGAAATTTATTTGTTTTTGTATTTTCGGAATATGAGTGTGTGACTTGTTATAATTGATCCTATTGATAGTACAGAAAATGGGTCTGTCATCTTGACCGAGATAGTTTTATCCCGTCGGATAGTCATTCTAGTATCTGGAGCGCGGAATATATGAAATGGATCACAAAGTATTTGGACTATGATTCATACTTACTATTCAAACCTCGTGGCCGAACTAAAAAAAAATGCAAACAAAGAAGGAGTTTTATTATTTATAAATATAAATCGAAATATTTTTTATTCTTTCAAACTCTCATTTAGTTTATAATTTTTTTGATCAAAGGACAAACCTTTCTTTTCTTTGTATTTTTATTTATTCTATTCATTGAATAAGAGATGATCCACTGGTTCTTCACATCCACCATGCAATGCACGCAATTATTGATAGACAAAAGAATCATGGTATGCACTTTCATGTACTAGCTAAAGCTTTACGTATGTCTGGTGGAGATCATATTCACGCTGGTACAGTAGTAGGTAAACTTGAAGGAGAAAGGGAAATAACTTTGGGATTTGTTGATTTATTTCGTGATGATTTTATTAAACAAGATTCAAGTCGTGGTATTTATTTCACTCAAGATTGAGTTTCTCTACCAGGTGTTCCGGCCGTAGCTTCGGGGGGTATTCACGTTTGGCATATGCCTGCTTTGACCGAGATCTTTGGAGATGATTTCGTACTACAATTCGGTGGAGGAACTTTAGGACACCCTTGGGGAAATGATCGGGTGCCGTAGCGAATCGAGTAGCTTTAGAAGCATGTGTACAAGCTCGTAATGAGGGACGTGACCTTGCAGACAAGGGTGCTGAAATTATCCGCGAGACTAGCAAATAGAGTCCTAAACTAGCTGCTGCTTGTGAAGTATGGAAGGAGATCACATTTGAATTCAAACCAGTGGATACTTTAGATAAAGAAAAAGGATAAAAAGAAAAATTGACTTCAAAGCAATGAATACTTTGTAATCCAGTAATTAATGCCGGTTTGTTGAATTGCAATTAAACTCGACCCAATCTTTTACTAAAAGGATTGAGCCGACCTTATTATCTTGTCTATATTTTTTATAGATATATTTTTATCTAGATATATCTTAAATACAAAATCTTAAATACAAAAGACTAAACACAACTTAAATTTTCTCCTAGGTCCATAATTAATCTTATATATATGTATGGATCCTTAGGATTGGTGTATTCTTTTCTATCCTATATCCTATGGTTTCGGATCATGGATTGAACCAAACATCACAACTTCTTCTACCCATCCTGTATGTTGTCCTTTTGGTTCTATGTTGGAATAGAAACTTATTCTATTGTATTAGTAGACGAGATTTTACAAAACATTTATTGTATTAGTAGTAGAGATTTTACGAAAAAGGGTCTTGATGGGAGAAAATTTTATTTTTTCAATTTTTTCAGTGCGAATTTTACACAACATGGGGAAATCACTATTTCGAATTGAAAATTGATATTTCTAATTGAAAAGAAAAAAAGAGCTCTATCATATATAATGAAATGCTAGTCCAGGTTCTCACAAAAGAGAATCGTTTCCTTCAACATTCACTCATTGTTTGTTAATAACCCTAGTGATTGTATCTAGTATGCGTATTCTGATAGGAAATAAAATATTCAGTTGATTTTTCATCGAATGCCTATTCATCTATTGTACTTTCATGTAAATAGAGGCAAGAAAGCTCTATGGAAAAATCATGATTCAATTTGATCTTGTCTAAGGGGGAATTAGAATACATATGCGGGCTAAGTAAATCAATGGATAGCCTCGGTTCTATTGAAAATACTAGTGTAAACAAAGACCCGGCTAGAAATGATACGGATAAAAAATTCATGATTGTAGTGACAGCTCTAGCTATTACAGTAAGGTTGATCATTTAGTTGGCGTCAAAGACATTCGAAATTTCATTTCTGATGACACCTTCTTAAGTAAGGATAGTAATCAAGATAGTTATTCCATATATTTTGATAGTACAAATCAAAATTTTGAGATTAACAATGATCATTCTTTTTTGAGTGAACTAGAAAGTTTTTTTATAGTTGTCATAATTCTAGTTATATGAATAATAGATCGAAAAATGATGATCTCCACTATGATTTTAACTTGTATGATACTAACTATAATTGGAATAATCACATTAATAGTTGTATTGACTCTTTTCTTCGTTCTCAAATCTGTATTGATAGTTCCATTTTAAGTGGTAGTGACAATTCCAATGATAGTTATATTTATAATTACATTTGTGGCGAAGGTGGAAAGAGTAGTGAAGACAAGAATTTCGATATAATAACTCGTGAAAATGATAATGATTTAACTCTAAAAGAAAGTTCTAATGATCTCGATCTATACAAGCATTTGTGGGTTCAATACGAAAATTATTATGGATTAAATTATAAGAAATTGCTTAAGTCAAAAATGAATATTTATGAACAATGTGGATATCATTTGAAAATGAGTAGTTCAGATATAATTGAACTTTCGATTGATCCAGGCACTTGGGGTCCTATGGATGAAGACACAATCTCTCTGGATCCCATTGAATTTCAGTCTGAAGAAGAGCTTTATAAAGATTGTATTGATTTTTATCAAAGAAATACTGGATTAACTGAGGCTATTCAAATAGGCACGGGTCAACTAAATGGTATTCCTATAGCAATCGGGGTTATGGATTTTCAGTTTATGGGGGGTAGTATGGGATTCGTAGTAGGTGAGAAAATTACCCGTTTGATCGAATATGCTACTAATAATTTTTTACCTCTTATTCTAGTGTGTGCGTCCGAATGTGCACGTATGCAAGAAGGAAGTTTGAGCTTGATGCAAATGGGGCCAAGACCAAATCTTATCTATTTTTTTCAAGACTTAGATTCCAAAGATACCTATTTAGTAGAATATTGTATAAAATTCGGCTTTTCCAAACCGAACATAAATGAAACCTCTTATGCATACGTAAACATGATATAGGGTTAAATAAATTATAGCAAGTACCGAATGGATGTATGAAATTAAAGTCTATGTATCTAGTAGATCTGTATAGGGGATCATATAAAAGGGGATGATTTTAGATCTAAGCAATTTGATGAATTACTTCTAAAAGTTCATATCAAAATATCAAAATAATACTAGTTGATGAGAGTTACTTCGGAAACAAAAAAAGTAAAGTCGATTTTTTTTGTTATTCTCTCAATTCCAATAAAATGCAACTGGATCTAGTATGTATGAGTTGGCGATCAGAATCTATATGGATAGAATTTATAGTGGGGTCTCTAAAAACAAGCAATTTCTGCTGGGCATTTATCCTTTTTTGGTTAATTAGGGTTTTTATTAGTTAGAAGTTCTAGTTATCTTGGTAGGAATTTGATATCTTTATTTTTGTCTCAGTAAATAGTTTTTTTTCACAAGGCATCATAATGTCTTTCTATGGGATCACAGGCCTCTTTATTAGTTCCTATTTGTGGTGCACAATTTTTAGGAATATAGGTAGTGGTTATGATCGATTCGATAAACAAGAGGGAATAGTATGTATTTTTCGTTGGGGTTTTCCTGGAAAAAATTGTCGCATCTTTCTACGATTCCTTGTGAAAGATATTCAGTCCATCAGAATAGAAGTTAAAGATGGTATTTATGCTCGTCGTGTCCTTTATATGGAAATCAGAGGCCAGGGGGCCATTCCCTTGACTCGTACTGATGAAAATTTGACTCTACGAGAAATTGAGCAAAAAACTACTGAATTGGCCTATTTTTTGAGTGTATTGATTGAAGTCTTTTGAAATGAATTTGCAGAATAAATGCTTTCTCTCTAGTAGGAAAAAACTCAAGTCAAGAATCCTCTTTTTTCTATAGCAAAACTAAACTGAAGTTTCTTCAGAATGCCTATTCGAACCAAAGTAGACGTATACGGAAGAGTCATAACATAAAAAAAGTTTTTTTCCACAAAAAATTGTTTTTATGCGTTTGTAAAACCACTCAACTTAATCTTAATTCAATAACAAAACAAGCAAAAAATCAAAATAATGGATTTGTCTCATATATCAAAGTATTTCAAAATAAGGACTTTCTATTTTATTTTCAATATTTGGAGTTGATACGTTAGATACAGAATATAGCTAGGGCGCTCATTCGTTTCAAAATCTGAATAGAACAATCTTTATTATTTGAGGCGGTTCTTTCGGGTAGTTATCAAAAGAGGGAAATTGCTTCGAATTTGATCAATTGAGATATCTGGAAACAATAACAATATCAATATAACAATAATATAGATATTTCATTTGAACATCTTTCGCTCCAAGAAAAGAAGACTGTTGGTTGTAAGAGATGTGAATCCGCTTGCCAACGGATTTCTTGAGTGTTCGAGATTCTTTATGGCATGAAACAACTCGAAGTATGTGTCTAGCTTATTGATATGTTCTAGAAAAGAGAACCCCACTTGAATAAATTTTTAATCCATTTGAATTTTTTACTGAAAAAACCCGTGCTCAGTGCTAAAAAAATTCTTTCTAAGCACGAGTTTTTCTGGTCCAAGCGTATCTTGTCTTTACCACGAATTATTTCCCTTGGTTAACAATAATTGTAGTTTTACCAATATCTGCAGGCTCTTTAATTTTCTTTCTTCCTCATAGAGGAAATAAGTTAATTAAGTGGTTTACTATGTGTATATGCATATTTGAACTCCTTCTAACAACCTATGCATTTTGTTATAATTTCCGATTGGACGATCCATTAATCAAGCTAGTAGAAGATTATAAATGGATAAATTTTTTTGATTTTTACTAGAGATTAGGAATAAATGGACTTTCTATAGGGCCCATTCAATTAGTCATTGCTCTAGATTCTTTAGGGGTTATTACGTCCTTGGTAGCTCAACACATGTACTCTTTACCTACTTATGCGTTCATAGCACAAGACTTTACTACTCAAGCTGCATTATATACCCATCACCAATACATCGCAAGATTCATCATGACAGGAGCTTTTGCCCACAAAGCTATATTTTTTATTTGAGATTACAATTCGGAACAGAATGAGGATAATGTATTGGCAAGAATATTAGACCATAAAAAAGCTATCATACCCCATTTAAGTTGGGCCAGCCTCTTTCTAGGATTCCATACTTTTGGACTTTATGTCCATAATGATGTCATGCTTGCTTTTGGGACTCCAGAGAAACAAATATTGATTGAACCCATATTTTCCCAATGGATCCAATCTGCTCATGGTAAAACTTCATATGGGTTCGATGTACTTTTATCTTCAACGAATGGCTCATCATTTAATGCGGGTCGAAGCATATGGTTGTCTGGCTGGTTAAATGTTGTTAATGAAAATAGTAATTCACTATTCTTAACAATAGGTCCTGGAGACTTCTTGGTTCATCATGCTATTGATCTAGGTTTACATAAAACTACATTGATCTTAGTAAAAGGCGCTTTAGATGCGCGCAGTTCCAAGTTAATGCTGGATAAAAAGGATTTTGGTTATAGTTTTCCTTGCGATGGTCCGGACCGAGGTAGTACTTGTGATATTTCTGTGTGGGACGTATTTTATTTGGCGGTTTTCTATATGTTAAATACCATTGGATGGGTTACTTTTTATTGGCATTGGAAACACATCACATTATGGCAGGGTAACGTCTCACAGTTTAATGAATCTTCCACTTATTTGATGGGATGGTTAAGAGATTATCTATGGTTAAACTCTTCACAACTTATCAATGGGTATAACCAAGTACCAAACTCTAAGAATATTTTGGACTAAGGTTGTAACCAATAACTAAATGAAAAATAAAAACTCATCAAATGACCTTAATGATAAAAGAAAATATTGTTCTCTCTAGAGATTCTAGATTAAAGCAACTACATCTGTAGGGTGTGTATGTTATCAATCGATTAAAAATATTATAAATAGATAATATCTTGCAATCGTTTCGAACTATTCAAAAATAGATAAATAAAAGACTTAATATAAAAAAGTACCTAAACTATATCATTTTTTTCATTTAGGTGTCTGAACTTTTTTTTTCCATAAATTTAGGTGCCTATCATTACAAACTTTACCATTTTAAACGTCTTAATCGTAACTATCATTAAAAAAGCTTGTTAAGTGACACATTTTGTCTTTTATTAATTTTGAAAATTTTATTTTAAAACATTTGCAAATATTATTATATTTAAAAAATTCTAATATATCTTAAATTACCAAAACCCCCAAATTCCTAAAAATCTCAAATCTCTAACTTTATCTCCCTTCTCGATAACATTGAAGGGTGAAGATAAGTTTGAATCCCAATCCACGCATGGCTGTCAATTTTATGAGTTTGCTTTGCTATTTCTTCCGTCTTCTCTTTTTGTTGGTATATAATAAAATTTGGAAATTGCTAAAAAAAATTATTAAATCCCAAAACCAAAGTGAAAGAAATTATCTTTGAAATTAACGTTTAGGTTATGTATAGGGGTGTAAACGAAATAAATTTAAACGAATAAAATTATGTTTGTGTTTGTATTTTTAAACATGTTCATGTTTGTTTAAATTTTCAATATCGTATTCATATTCGTTTATTTATTTTTGAAGATGTTTATATTTGTTCGTTTAGCGTTCATGAAATTTCCATTTAATGTCTGTGAACATCAAAACATGTTTATTTGATGTTTGGTCTTTTTATACCTTTTTATTTGCGAGCCAAAGATAAATGATGAACTCATGTATCTAGTCCTTAAATTTCCTATACTTCACAATTTAAACTCTAAAATTTATCTTATATTTAATTTAGTTCATATCTTCATCAATATTTGATATGTTAAAAAAAGAAAAAACTGAATAAATAATCTTATAAACGAGTTAATCAACGAATTTATAAATGATCTGATAAATAAATTGATAAATGAGTTTGTTGGTCAAAATAAACAAACGAATTCATTCATTTATTAAAGAGAAAATAATCTCAGTGACCAAAAATGCCTTATAATATACGATTTTAACCAACTTTTTTTGGATTTGCCAAAATGACCAACAAAATCGCAATGCGAAATAAAAATCACAACGCGATCTCCAGAATCGCAAATCAGTTCCCAGAATCGCAACGCGATTATGAAGAATCGCAATGCGATAGTACAAATTCGCATTGCGATTTTCCAGAATCGCAACGCGAATATGAAAATCGCAACGCGAACATATAAATCGCAACGCGATTCTGACTATCGCAACGAGTATCCGTAAAATCGCAACGCGTATCCGTAAATCGCAACGACAATACGTAAAATCGCAACGCGTATCCGTAAATCGCAACGAGAATACGTAAATCGCAACGCGTATCTGTAAATCGCAACGAGAATACGTAAATCGCAATGCGTATCCGTAAATCGCAACGATTACGTAAATCGCAACGATTACCTAAATCGCAACTCATTCCATCTCCATCTATCACTCTCTCCGGCGACATCCGTTCCTATATCCAACGACATCCTTCCCCATCCGGCAACAGGTTTTAGTTTCGCAACTCGTTTGTTTAGTAAATTAATTTACAATAATGAAATCATCTAATGTTGATCATGTTTGGATATATTTGTGTTTTGGAGGGTCATGGGAGATTGTTCATGGTGTTTTACAATATATGCCTTTACCCATGAATCTTCAACTAAAACTTTCATTAAAAAAGTTAACTTATGAAACTCTAATGTTACGTGTTGCAAATAAATTGAATTTAGAGCCCCTAAGTGGATTTAGGCTATCTTATCAGAGAAATGGTAAAGTTTATTTGTTAACCGACAATGAAGATGTTGAACGATTCATTGCTTATATTAGTGTTTCAAGTGATGATGTTACATTGTATGTTGTTGAACCTAGAAGTAGTGAAGTTGGGTCAGTAGCGGGTAGTAATTAACTAAGTTTTTCAACCCCAGTTTATGGTGCTCAAAATTTAATGGTTCCACCACAATTTCATCACCAAGCAAATATTGTTTCACCACATTTCCAATACCAAACACAATCTCAAAACCCACAACCTTTCCCTAATCCAAATCCCAATCAAAATTGACTATGGAACGCGGAAATGACTATCGCAACGAGAGAATCGCAATGCGAAATGAAAATCGTAATACGAAAATGAAAATCGCAACGAGTGAATCGCAATTCGAAAATGAAAATCGCAACGTGAAATTAGTTTCGCGTTGCGATTTTCATTTTCGCATTGCGATTCACTCATTGCGATTTTTATTTCGCATTGCGATTCTCTCGTTGCGATAGTCATTTCACATTGCGATTCTCTCGTTGCGATTTTCATTTCGCATTGCAATTTTCATTTCGCATTACGATTCTCTCGTTGTGATAGTCATTTCCGCGTTGCGATAGTCTGTTTTGCATTCAACATAATGCAGATTGAAATCAACAAATCATCTATTACATTTCAATCAATTAAACAAGCACAAATATTATGTACACATCAATTAAACAAATCAACATTTACAAATCATCTTTTACAAATCAATTAAACAATAAAAAAATAATAATGAAATCAACTTTTGCACCCATACATCCATTTCACGCAGCTCACTTCAGGATTAACCTGCAGAAACCAAACATTGAATCAACAACACTTTCTACACATCTAAAACCTACAAACAACAAATTATTGAATTCTAGCTACTTAACCAAACATTTTCAAACCAAAAAGAGTAAATATGTTTAACAACACTTGCATTTGACTTACAAATTGTTTATGGACACTTTCATAACGCGGATGCAGGTAGGCAGCGTCTCGCATATATCGCTCTAGACATAAAATGTCGAAACCACAAGCCTACTGCACCTCTATCTCTATCGGTGAGAGGTAGAAATGTGTATTTCCTGTCGTCAAACGCTCCAAGCACATGCATACGAGAGGACCACAATCCCCTCTGGCTTCCTTCATTTTTTGTGGCGCGGTCTCATCTCTGATAACTGTAACATTGAACTTCTTTGGCTTCTTGTTTCCAGACTTAGTCCAATAATCAATTGCATCCAAGAATTTAGCCAAATGAGAGCTCCATCCCTTAATCATATCTCTCAAATCAGACAATGATATGTAATTTATCATGCTGTCATATACTATTGTCTTTAGGGATGGGAGCTGAAGCTCGACGAGAAGCTAATGAGTACGGTCCAAAACAGGGATAAACACCTGCATCGAAATGTAATAATTCAAATTGCGCACTTATTTATGAATACCTTTAAAATATTTAAACAAATATACTAACCTTATCGACCTCCCACCATGCAGGATAAAGTTTAGCTTGTCCATTAGCCAACACATATGATTCCTGTCGTTGATTCTTCAAGTGAACTACGTGAAAAGACGTCGGTATAATTGTATATCGCATTTTTTTAATATTTTTCTTCAATTTCCTTACAATTAGAAGACGTGTCACCCATGCATCAATATGTTGTTTTACAAAAAAAGACATATATTAGTGAATTACATAAATTTTAAAAAAAATTAATCAAACTGAAATATAAGAAATATAAGACTTACCCCCCCATCGAAATAGCCGTTGTCTTCAACCCCTAATAATACACCCCACCAAGACCGTTCAATCAACAAATGCATATCAACGTTGAGTTTGTATATGTCAGCGTAACACCCTTGGCTCCGCTCATGTAGATAAAAATCAACTACGGTCTTAGCCCAAAGGGTATTATCCAGAATTGTTTCCGGTAGTTGTTTCCTCTCCACTTCATCTGCCGGAATGGTACTGGTCGGTAACTTATACGAAAGCCAAGAGTCATCCATCATGTACGGCACGTGAGGGGGCTTCTCAATAATTCGATATATTACGCCGTGTGAATCGGGCTCTAGAATGTTGGGAGGGACCTCTTCAACGATGACAGTGGCCTCTTGAACGGTGGGACGGGACTCTTGAGGGATGATAGGGGCCTCTTGAACGATAGGGGAGGCCTCTTGAACGATGACAGGTGAGTCGGGCTTTTTCTTACGGATTCTTCACACTATTGGGGTGAACGGAGACGTAATGGCACGTGCACGCCGTCTGATGTGTGAACTCCGTCTTGCAAGAAAAACCCGATGTAGAGCATCAACCTTAGCGGGCCGCTAAAAATAAATTAATACATAAATCAGTAAATAAACAAACATGATATTAAACAGTGAGAACAAAGACAAATATATTTCAAACTTGCACAATATTCACCCAAGTCATTATTATATCATTGTTTACAAAATGCATCAGATAACATTCCAGAAGTAAGCACTTATATAAACATTTAAAAGGACAACATATAGGTTTAGTGCAGGTTCAATGACAACACAGTTTAGCAGAATTGGCAGCAATCAAACAAATTTACTTTCAACCAAAAGACAAAACAAAGACAAATACTAACTTCACAGTGTTAAAGAATACACAGTTTAGCAGAATTGGCAGCAACCGAACAAATTTACTTTCAACTAAAAGACAAAACAAAGACAAATACTAACTTCACAGTGTTAAAGAATACACAGTTTAGCAGAATTGGCAGCAACCGAATAAATTTACTTCAACCAAAGGACAAAAAAAAAGACAAATACTAACTTCACAGTGTTAAAGAATAAACAGTTTAGCAGTATTGGCAGCAACCGAATAAATTTACTAGGCAATCTAAGTGAAAAGGTTAATCTAAGTGAAATTACGAGTAAATTTATCATCAAGTTAAATATGGAAAATCTTAAACTTACCTCGTTGCGTAGAGTATGAACCTCATTCTGCAATGATACTACCATCTTACGTAGAGCG